CTCGGCTCACTGCAACCTCCGCCTCCCGGGTTCAAGGGATTCCCCTGCCTCAGCCTCCTGAGTAGCTGGGATTACAGGTGCCTGTCACCACGCCCGGCTAATTTTTGTATTTTTAGTAGAGATGGGGTTTCACCATATTGGCCAGATGGTGTCGATCTCTTGACCTCGTGATCCGCCCACCTCGGCCTCCCAAAGTACTGGGATTACAGGCGTGAGCCACCATGCCCAGCCTAATCTAATCTGTTCAACTTTACGGAAGAAGTGAGCTATCAGGAGTACTCTCTAACCCACCCCTCCTCTTTCCATACCCTCCCCAATATGCAGTGTCCCAGGATTCATGACTTATCCACAATTCTTCAGATATCACCATTAATACTTAACTACTATTTAGATCTGTAGTGTCCAATCTTTTGGCTTCCCTGGGCCACATTGGAAAAAGAACTGTCTTGGGCCATGCATAAAATACACTAACACTAACAATAGCTGATGAACTTTAAGAAAAAAAAAAAAAGGTCCATGGATATATCTCATAAAACTAGATTGAATGTTCTGGAGAAACGTTAAGGTAAATGCTTAAAAATATCTACTATCAAGTTAGGTTGGAATAAGACAATTATAAAAGTTTCAGGGGAAAATCATAAAAATCAGTAAGGTTTTGCATGCAGATTGCTTTGCAAATATCTAAGTTCCCATTCCTCTTTAAGCAAAAGCACAGTTTATGGGGATATAAGAAACCCGCAGTTGAAGGCCAATCTGGGGATGCATAGTCAAAGAAAAGGCCTTGATTTTTTAAAAGCTGGTAATGAACGTACAGATTTGAGCTTAAAAGTTTATGGTATGTATCATATTCTATGATTCTCTGCTTTTACTGGCTTTTTCAATTAACCAAACAACTGTCAGTTCCAATCATATGAGATCAGACAGCCCTTTCACCCCCACTTGCCCAGCTCAGTAGAATCAGGTCAAAGAGGTGGATTCTGCCACTTCTAAATATATACTCTTCTGGAAATCTTTTTGAGCATTTCTCTCCCCTTTCAAGATTACCCTGGATATTCTAATTACCTTGATTTCAACTGCATGAGACATTGAAAGATGAAGACATACACAGTGTGATTTACTAGCCCACTTTCTTCTCCCATACCTCATCTGACATCTTCAATTTCTGCCTCCCAAATAGTCCGTTTTCAGTGTTGGCTCGTTTTTGTAATTCTAAAATGTTAACTTTCATTTTGTTCTACCTGCCTTTCTCTTGTTACTATTAGACTTTGATTAATGTTTAACGATTACCTGTTTCTGCTGCCTCTATTTCTTCTCTCTCATCTCCCTCCTTAATCCTTTTTTTTTTTTTTTTTT